GATAGAGAAAGGATGAGTTATGTCTAGCAGGTAAAATCCAGCATCCAGAAGGAGAGCCTGTTGGAGCTTCTGGAAAGGTTTAATAATGGAGTGATGGAGGAGTTCATGCAGGGAGCCCACAACTGCCTCATATAAGGGGTGAGCAAGGAGAGAGAAAAAAATGAAAGCCAGGTTGAAAGAAGCCAGCTATTCCCATAAGAAGCCAGCTATTCCCAGAATGGTCAGAATCTTTTGTTTAGTAGAGGGGACTGCAATAGACTGAATAAGATGCTTTCTATCAACAGTAATAGCCTTGTGGGTTAGGGAATGATTTGATCCAAATAGGTGACCTGAGAAGTGGACAGCTAGATTTGGAAGCCCACTATAACCCCAGCTGAACAAGAAATTGAGGAGAGCAGAGGTGTTAGTTTGGGTAATGTGTAATGATAGGCTGCAGAGTAGAATGTAATTTACATACTGTGTTAATTTAGAACCTTTGGGGGACAAAGACAGCAAGTCGGAGGCTAGTACCTGACCAAATAGGTGTGGGATGTCCCTGAATACCTGTGGCAAGACAGTCCAAGTTAACTACATCGACGAGTGTCAGGGCCAGTACTGGTAAAGGTAAAGATATTTTGAGACTGAGGGCTGAGAGCAATAGAAATGAAGGCAACCTTGAAGTCCATAACTGAGACATGAGAGGTTCCTGAAGGCCTAGTGGCAAGTAGTGTGTAAGAGTTAGGCGCCACAGGATAGAGAGTGACCAATACAGATTTAATGAGCCACAGGTCTTGAAACAGTCAGTAGGTTCAATTAGGCATCATAACTGCAAGTATAGGAGGTCGGGTGAAGTAATGTTTTTCTGAAAAGTTCAGAGATGATAGGCTTAAGTTCTTTAATGATCTGGAGTGAGGGAGGGTACTGAGCTTGAATGATGTATCAGGTATGGTGTTGCAACTGGATAAAAATAGGAGGATGGTTTTTAGCAACAGAAGCGTTCTGGGTTTCCCAGAATTTGGTGTGCACCTGAGAGGCTGGCTAGGGAAATAACATGTTAGTGCTAGAGGGCTGGGTGGCTAGGAGGAGGAGAGGAGCTGCTAGCAAGTCTGGGGTCAGGTGAATGAGGTGAGCAATAGAAATAGAATCTCCTACCTTACCTAAAAAAATCTCTTCCCATTAGGGGCACAGGGATTGTTGGCACAACCAGAAGTGTGTGAGTAAGAAGTATACTACTGAAAATACAATTAAGTTGCAGTTTTAGGTGAGGTGGGTAAGGCTGTCCCCCTACCTTGACAATAGGGAGACAAGAAGGAGAGTTGGGACCCCAAAAGTCCTTCAGGATTGATTAAGTGGTCCTAGTATCCAAACGGAAGGAAATGGATCACCCAGATACTGTAAAGTCGACTCGATTTTCCACTCGATTTTCCGGGTGAAAGATAACTGTTGTCTCGTTGGAACCTGGGTATCTTCAATCATCCAACACCAAGCCTAGGAAATCAGTTGAAGTTTGGTCTTTATTTGATGTCCCCATGCTACAAGGTGCATTGGGGCAGTCAACTCACTAATAACCCTATTGGTGGCATTTTAGCCAAGGCCCGGGTGGCTCACATGGGGCAGGGCAAGCATGGCCGTCTCAACCACATTTAAACCTTGGACCTAGAGGCCTTTGTGTGGCTGGTCAGGTAGCCTGTACCAGTATTTGGCAGTCTTGTTTGTGGGCTTTTTCTCATCTCTCCCATGGTATACTTTAAAATCTACCACTAAACCTCTGTCTGTGGTTTCAGAGGCCCTTTCTCCAGAAACTTGTTTGGCCCTAAAGTTAGGGAAGTTCTGTGAGACTAAGTGGGTGATAAGGAGCTGTATGGCATTTGGGATCTCCGGATCTAGGCTAGTATGTTGTAAGTGAGCCTTTGTAAATCATTCTAGAAAATGAGACAGGTTCTCCTTATCTTGAATTATGATTTTTAGCTTTTCATAATTTACTGGTATGAGGGCAGCCTTATGAAGATGTGCAAGGAGACAGTCCTTAAAGCAATCTCTAGGTAGAGAGCCACCTGTAGTATTATAATCCCATCGTGGGTTCTTATTGGGTACCAACTCTGCTCCAGGAGGATGGTGTGCATTACTCTGGAGGACATTATTTGCATGTATTCTTGCCTGTTCCGAAAGTCATCTGCACTCCTCAAGAAGTAGGTTATTAGTAAGTACCATGTGTATATCATGAAAGGTGAGCCTATAAGATTAAGGAATATACTAAAATTGTTTAATACAGGAAGTAGAATTGGAGGTATAACAACCCAGTTTTGTTTCTATCTGAGAAAATTCGACCAGTGAGAAAGGGACGTGTTTCTTAAGAAGACAATCCACCTCAGCTATCCCTCACAAAAGGACAATGGTTGCAAATTGGAGGTTCTTCAGGTTCAGGTTACACAGCTAGGAGTATGTGGATAAGTGAAAAGGAATCAAGAATTGAGGGTTTGGAGCTGAGATAGAAAAAGTCTTGGATATAAACTAACTCCTTCCCTTTGCCCATTCACTGTCAGAAGTTAGATAATTCCTGAAAAATATTGACATCCTGCAATCCATTTGTTGGCCATCTTTTATTGTTTTCTAAAGGATACTTTGGCCATTTTTTAATTCAAATACAGATAAGCTTACAAGTATTTTAGTAAGGCATTAAGTTGAAAGGCTTGAGAGTTTCTAAAAGGCATCCCAGAGAAGATGTTTGGCTAATGGGATTGGAAGCCTTATTTTCTATGGCTGCAGCAGAGAGAAAAACTAAAAACAAACAAACAAAAAAAAAAAACAAAAAACTAATATAATCCAAAAACTAAAATCTCAGGTGTCCCGGAGATCAAGTGAGCAAATGTCAATTGGCACAAATCACTCAGTACTTTGTCAAGCAAGAAGTGGGAGGGGCAGGCACTAGCCTGAGGACTAGTGTCCCACAGACAAGAATGAAGGAGAATAATATCTCAGACCACAGTCATGGGAAATAGCTAAGGGTTTAGCCTGCTATGGGGGTGACCTTAGCCAATGAAGGCCATGGATGGGAGTTCCTCCAGTCCCAAAAACACAAGAAGGATGCTAGTTAATCAAGGGTCATTCCTACTGGTCCAGGGGACTATTTACACTGCTTGTTAAAGGGAAAACTCACAACTCAAAGGAGTGATAAAGCAGCCTGTCAAATGGAAAGTGAGCAGTTGTAATTGAATGTACCTTGGTACAGAATTCCAGGCACATGGCGCCAAGGGCTTGCTTGTCATGTGACACCAATGCATAAAATTTACCATGCAAGGGAAAACACCAGGTTCTATGAAGGCCACTATAAGAGATTTTATTACTAGAGGGTAAAGAGGCATTGTGCAATATGCCTACTAGAAATGAATGGGGTGGAATATGTCTTTATACTTCCCCTCTAGGATGCACATATGGGCTTATGTAGCTAAGCCATGCATGAACAGTGATTATATAATCACATTGCACAAGGATAACTTAGGAACTAGGCCCTGGGATGACTAAGCTTTCTGCCTGAGTGATGGACAGAGCATGCACTGACATGTATCTAGAGGGTAGCTAGGAGTCATAGCACCAACAGCCACCATCAGCTGTTAGTTTGAGGCAGAGCCCAGGGTAAATTACATTTTATCCTGACTTCCCCTATTCAGTTTTCCTTCTTCTTTTACAAATCACAGGAAATGGGGAGAGATAGATGAGTCAGCAGCTCTGATAGAGATCTCCAAGTTAACTGCAGTCATTTGTTTTCATTCCTAGTTTAGACATCTCTCCTTATTGGTTCCTAATGCATCTCTATCTGAATAGGAGGCAGTCAGATCAAATAAAAATGCCTAAATTTAAGGATTTACTCAGCTGGACTCCTGGCTAATGTCAGCTCTTAGCTGGATTTAGCAAAATCCTGGCTGTAAACTATACAAGAGAAGGAAAACTATCCCAGAGACCTGCAGCAGACAGAGTCAATAGAAACCTAGGATGGACAGGGATTTGGTGGGATTTCCCACACTCCTGCTCTGAGTTACCTGCTCCTGTTTGCTGTGCAAAGCAACTGCTTCATCCTTAATATCTATGGTCACTTGCTCAGTCTTGGATCCAGCATTATTTGCAGGGAAGACTTACATTGGGAATCAATACCTGAGGAAACCATGAATGCATTGATCATATGCTCCATTGGAAGTCCACTAATAAAATGGCTATGTCAGGGACAATTTTCACTTAGCTGCCTGGGACTCTGTGAAAATTTCAAGTGTCAGTTTCCACAAATAAGTGCATTTGGGAATCTGGCATGGCTGATCAGAAACTGTTACCATCAAGCAGCAATAGGCAGCCCAGAATCACAATCATACATCACCAGTCAGCATGGGAGGCTTTCAGTAAGATAGATAGGATATAGGGCCAAGTGACTGGATAGATGATCATCTGCTAATTACCACGAGATGGTTTTCTCCTTTGATATTTGCATTCAGTGCCTAGGATGATTTGCATTTTTTCCTGTCCTCCAGTTTCATTTTCATTGTTTTGTCTGCAGCACAGATTTAGGTGGGAGGGAAAAATGGCTCTTGTGGTGGATTGATTCCCAATGCAAAATCATATACCTGCTTCTAGGACACTGTCATCCTGCCTGGGGACCAGATATCTAGAAGAAAGAAACCAATTTTGTAAATTGTAATTCAGGTACAGAACAGTCTGAAGTTAGTGTATCCTATTTAGAATGAGGAAAATGCAGCCATTTCCAAAGGAGTGTGGATGATTTCAGGCAGAAAGTACTTTTCTAGTGACAAGAATATCTCCAGCCCAGTTAAGCTAATGAAACCTTAACTAGGTAATGAAGAAATCAGAGTATGGGCTTTAAATAGACTTGTAAAACAGGAGCAATTTTAGTTACAGTGTTTCACCTCCAGTGGAAGGCTCATTTTTATCTGAAAAAGAATAACAATAACTTTAGCATACTTAAGCAAACGAAACCTTAATTGGGTTACAATAAAACCAGGACAAGTGAGTCTTACCACTACTCAGATGCTGTCAACATCCTGTGCAGAGTAACAGGTAGAGTTCATGAGTGATGTAGTACAGCTGACTGAATCATGCCCACGGTGACTGGCACACACAGAAAATGGAAAGATATTTCCTCAAAAAGGGGGCAGGCATCCTGTGGGTATCAGCAAAGCATAGCATATGGAAATGCCATAATACCAAACATCTCCTACTGCGTTCAGGCAGAGCAAGGCCATCCAGCATGAGGAATACATACCCAAGCCACAGCCAAAGCAGTTGCAAGAGCCCCTTCTCCAATTGCTATGAGTCCCTCAAATAGATGAAGCCTAACTACAGTCACATCTATGCAGAGGAGCCAGGTAGATCCTATGAAGGCTCAATGATCATTGGCTTAGAGTCTGTGAGTTCCCATGAGACAGGCTAGCAATTTCAGTGGATTTTCATGCAAATTCCCAGACCCTTCTGGCTCCTACAATCCTGCTTCCTTCTATGCAGTAGAGCTCCCCGAAATTGGCACATTGTATGTGGGTCTCTGATATTGTCTCCATTATCCACTGTATGCAGGTTGTCTGATGGCAACTCCAGTAGTCCACAATCAAATTACAGGGGATGACCAGGTCAGGCTATAGAACCACTGCAGCCAGGAGTCTTAGATGCGGACATGTGCAAGACTACAAAGACCCATGGAAATGTTGTTTGCATCAGTCTTCCATCACCTCCATAAATTTCCCCCTTTCCAGTCATCTCTCTCAGCACTCTCCTGGTCTGCCCATTCCAACCTGAAAAATCAAGTTCCCCTGCCTACCCACCCAACCACAGTCCAACTAGGGGATCTCTTCTACTCTCCCTTGCCAGCAAGATCCATGGGAGCTCCTTTATCCCCCTTGTTACCTAGCCTCTCTGGGTTTTTGAATTGTAACATGGTTGTCTTAACTTTTATAGTTAATATTCACTTATGGGTGAGTACATATTGTATGTGTCTTTCTGGTTCTGGGTTATCTTACTCAGGATGATTTTTTTTCTTGTTCTCAATATTAGCCTTCAAATGCCTGGTATCATTCATTTTAACATCTGAGTAACTCAATGACATATGTCTGCATTAATGAAAAAAGTTGGAGTGAAAAATTTGACATATCTTTGGGAGCCTAGACATTATTATCTTATCAATGGCCCACTATTGGTAAATTATAACATTTGGAGATAGTTGTATAATCATCCATGACATTTTATATTCTTGTCAGCTGTGGTTTTCACATTAACACAACATGAAATAATGAGTAGCAGTATCAGCTATATTAATATCTTAAGGGACTGCCTCTATGAGTAAGAAGTTGTTAAAAGGATCTTATTTTCAACAAGAATGATAATAAAACATAATTTGACAGAATTCTGAGCTTTTTCTATGTAGGGAATGCCTCAGTGGTTCCCCTGGTCCATATATTTGGGGATTATAAAAAAGAGGAGACACATTTATTGATCCTAAAGGTTTAATCCAGTAGTCAGATAACAAATGTTGAAACCTGGGGGAATGCAAAAGATAGATCAGAAATAGGATAGAAATTATACATTTGATAACATAAAAGAAAAAAATTGTGTCCTCTCTGACTGATATTCCATTATTTTACTTTTTGCTTCTAAGTTTCTAATATGCACAGCCTTGGAGAAGGCTCTGTCAGCAGCCTGGTTGCTTGGAAACAAGCAAAACTGGAAGCTCTTTCCAGAATACACATGTTAAAAAGCATGAAAAGTAGCAGTAATATCTATACCACAAAATGACACATACACATTAACAGTAACACATTTGAATTTCACTGGCCAGCTTGCATACCATGTTTGGAAAATTATACACACATTGGAAACACTATGTAAATCTGCCATTGCTAATACATATCTCCATGCAAGTAGTATTTTATTGGTATTTAAGCATACTTGTACAATTGAATTCACATTGCCTGGATTTTCATAAATAATTATTTAACTATATAATGCAGCAAAACATTCGCCTATAACTTGAGGAAGAATCATGAAGCCAAATATTATCAGAGTGGCTTACATTATTCAATGAATTGCTGAAAGAGAAAACACAGATTTTTTTTCATCTGAGAAGCTGCTCGTGTGGTTGTAGATGACCCCATAACACACACACACACACACACACACACACACACACACACACACACACAAACACAAACACACACACACACACACACACACACTACATCCTTTAACTGAATTCAGATGTCACTAAAAAGAGAATTAGTATATAAAATAAGGATGAAGGAATGATAACTGTGATCATATTGGAATTCCAGTGAAGGGAATGTAGTGAATTGTTCCAAAATTTCAATATTCATTAGTAAATACTGCACAAAATATTCCTTGAGTATGAATTGTCAAGTGTTCAAGGCCATACTAGAACAGAGTCAAGTGTTGTGACACATGCTTTTAATCCCAGAGCAACCATAGAGACCTGGATGTCTGTACAGACAAAGTGAGAAGAAAGTGAGGTAGCTGTGCTAAGCTAGCCAATGAGAGGGAAGAACAGGAAGTTAATGAAGGTGTGGGTAAGACAGGAAGTAGCTTGCATTTGGAAGCTGCAGGGTTGGTGAGGAAAGGTTGGCTGGTGGCTTTTCCTATTTCCCTGATCTCTAAGTCTTTCACCCCTATATTTGGCTCCATGTTTTTATTTAATAAGATCATCTAGAAATTGGTCTACATGCAGGTCTTAAATCAGGAATTATATTCTATTAGGCTTCTTAACTGTAAGTATATGAGTGTTAAACGAGAAGGGGTAGGGTGAAGTAGCATTTTTCTGAGAAGTTCAGAGATGAAAGCCTTAAGTCCTCCAAGTCTCTGGAGTGAGAGAGGGTACTGAGCTCGAGTGATGTGCCAGGTAGGGTGCTGTAATTGGATAAAAATAGAGAGACGGTGTCTAGCAACAGAAGGGTTCTGGGTTTCCAAGACAATGGGATCCACCTGAGAGATTGAAAGGGAAATGACATGTTACAGTTAGTGGGCTGAGTGGATAGGAAGAGGAGAGGAGCTGCTGGCAAGTCTGTGGTAAGGAAATGGGGGAGAAAATGAAATAGAAGCTCCTGCCTTAGCTAAAAAAAAATCTCTTCCCTTTAGAGGCACAGGGCAGTTTGGCACATCCAAACCCTGTGTTCAGAGTCCTGTACCAAGGTTCATTCATGGACAACTGCCAATTCCATATGTCTGGCTGCCAGAAGACTTATTCTATTGGTGAGTTTTTTCTATACCAGCCAGCTTAAACAGTCCCCTGGACTCATTGGAATGACCATTGATAACCCAGTTTCCTTCAGGTATTCTTGGGACTGGGGGAACACCCATCCACAGCCTTCATTGGCTATTATCAGCCCTCAGTACAGGCCAATGAAGGCTGTGGTACAGGACTCTGAACACAGGGTGCTGGGAGGGTCTGCTTTGTCATGCAGCACCAATGTTATTTATTTGTAGTGCTATTTGCTGCTCAAGAGAAAACAAGAGGTACAATGAAACCCAGTATAAGAGTTATTATTGTGGGAGGGAAAAGAGGGATTGTGCAATAGGCTACTAGAAATGAAATGGTGTGGAAAAAGGTGTTGGGGAACAGATTGAATCTCTTTTTATACTCCCCTATAGAGTGCTCATAAGGGCTTACATAGTTATGTCATGCAGGAGCATAGAATATGTAGTCAAGCTTCATACAGATTACATGATCACATAGTACAGGATTACTTAGTAGGCAAGGCCTGAGATGACTAAGCTATCTGCCTGACTGATGGAAAGAGGATGTACAGTCATGTAGTTAGGGGGTGGCTGGAATGCATAACAACACAAGAGACATGATCAGCCAGTTTTTTACTGTTAGTTGGAGGCAGAGCCTCCATTTTATCCTGTGTTCCTCTTTCAGTTTCCCTGCTTCTTTTAAAGCATGCAGGGAGGGGAGAGAGTTTGATGAGTCAGCAGCTCTGATGGAGATCTCCAAGTACACTGCAGTCATTTGCTTTCCATTCCTAATTTGGACATCTGTCTCCTTATTGGTTCCTAATCCATGTCTATTTGAACAGGGGACAGTCAGGTCAAATAAAATGCTTGCAGTCAAGAGTTTTACCAGCCAGGCTCCTGGCTAATGTCCAGTTCCTAGCTGGATTTAGCCAAAGCCTGGTTGTAAAAAACATGAGAGAAGGAAAACTGTCCCAGAGAACTGCATCAGACAGAGGCAACAGAAACCTAGAATATGCAGGTATTTAGTGGCATTTCCCACACTCCTGCTCTGAGTCACCTACACCTATTTGATTTTCAGGAAATTTGCTAATTCCTCTGAAGCCACTGCTTCATCCTGCATTATCTGCAAGGAAGGTTTATGTTGGGAAACAATACCTGACAGAAACCAGGGATATATTGCTGATATGCTCCTCAGAGGACACATTAAGAAAATGACTAGGTCAGCTACAATTCTCACTTAGCCACTTGGGACTTTGAAAATTTCAAGTGCCAAATTCCACAAATAAGTGTATTTGGGGAATCTAAATGGCATATCTGAAACTGTTACCTGAAAGGTAGGATTTTGCAGGATGCAAGCCCTGTGATGACTAAGCATTGTGCCTGAATGATGGACAGTGCATGCATGTTCATGTAGCTGGGGGTGGCTAGAAATCATAACATTCTACACTTGTAAGTACAGTAAAAAATAGCGGTTATGGGTGGCAGGTGAAAAGGAATGGGGGAGCCCTATCCTGCAGATATGCTTCCAGGTGACTCAGTGGGTGTTAGATAATTTTGGGGGGTATGGAACAGGGCTCTTCTTGAGGTAGACAGACATTGTGAATTCTGCTCTTTGAGTTCTGTTGAATCTGCCATTGCCCCTTGGATCTGACATGGTGCTGGCAAGGCAGAAGAGGAAGTTTAGAAAAAAATATTACCTGGTTAGTCCCTGAGGGGTACTAGGAGCTTTTTTTAGACACTCTAATAAATATGCATAATTATATAGTATATTATATTGTATTATATTATATATTATATCTTTCATCTACATAAAAAATCACAATAGAAACTGACACAAACAGATCACAGAGACAGCAGTCAGATGCGCTTGGCAGCCCAGAGTCATAATCAGAAAAGTCCAGAAAGGAATAAAGACATTCTAGTAAACAGCGAGAGTCTAGGTCAGAGCAACTAGAAACTCACTCACCCCATCAGCCAACATCAGCCAGTCTTCTACTGTTAGTTGGAGGCAGAGCCCAGGGTAAATTACATTTTATCCTGTGTTCCTCTTTCAGTTTCCCTGCTTCTTTTACAACACACAGGGAGGGGGCAGAGATTGATGAGTCAGCAGCTCTGATGGAGATCTCCCAGCACACTGCAGTCATCTGCTTTCCATTCCAAGTTTGGACATCTCTCTCCTTATTGGTTCCTAATCTATGTCTATTTGAATAGCAGGCAGTCAGATTGAATAAAAAGGCTTGCAGTCAAGAGTTTTACCAGCCAGGCTCTTGGTAAAAGTCCAGCTCTTAGCTGGATTTAGCCAAAGCCTGGCTGTAACAACACAAGAGAAGGATAACTGTCCCAGAGAATTGCAGGAGACAGAGGGAATAAAAACCTAGGATAGGCAGGGATCTGGTGGGATTTCCCACCCTCCCTGTCTGAGTCACCTGCACCTGTTTTCTGTGCAGAAAATGTACTCATGCCCCTAAAGCCACTGCTTCAGTCTTGATATCTGTGATCGCTGCCTCAGTCTTACATCCTGCATTATATGCAAGGAAGGTTTATGGTAGAAAATAACTACATGGCAGAAACTCCCTCAGAGAGCCCATTAAGAAAATGACTATGTCGGGTGGTGGTGGCAGACGCTTTTAATTTCAGCACTCGGGAGACAGAGCCAGGCAGATCTCTGTGAGTTTGAGGCCAGCCTGGGCTACCAAGTGAGCTCCAGGAAAGGTGAAAAGCTACACAGAGAAAACCTGTCTCAAAAAAAAAAACAAAAAGAAAGAAAGGAAGAAAGAAAGAAAGAAAGAAAGAAAGAAAGAAAGAAAGAAAGAAAGAAAGAAAGAAAGAAAGAAAGAAAGAGAAAAAGAAAATGACTATGCCTATGCCATGGACAATTCTATCTTAGTCACTTGGGGCTCTGTGCAAATTTCAAGTGTCAGATTCCACAAATAAGTGCATTTGGGGATTCTAAAATGACATATCAGAAATTGTTGCCTGAAAGGTACATTTGGCAGTCCAGAATCACAATCAGCCATCAGCAGGTGGAAAGCGAGGTTTTCAGGTAGATAGTCTGAATACAGGGCCATGTACCTGGATATATGATCACCATCCACATACTAGGGAATGCTTTTCTCTTTTGAAAATTGCATTCTGAGTGTAGGATACATGAAATCATTTCCTGTCATCCACTTTTACTTTCCTTGTTTTGGCTGCAGCACACATTTAGTTGGGAGGGTGAAATGAATCAGCAGCTCTGAAGGAGATCTCAGAGTACCCCAGGATTTGCTTTCCATTGGTGGAATTGAGATCACTCTCCATATTGTTTCCTGTTGCGGGGGTGTATCCCCCAACCCCTCATTTCCCCAGAGAACTCTTGAGTAGAAGCAGAAGAAATATTAGTTAGAAGGATGGAGGGGAGAGAAGCAGATAGAAAATACAGGAAAACCTCAAGCAGGCTGCATCCTAATCCATCCTGTATCTACTGTCTTCTGCCCTAGGGTATTTAAAGGAATGATAAGGGTTGAATCAAAAGACTTTCCCCCTCAACAGTTAAGTACAGACAGGCTCAGACACCTGCATTCAAGCCTGTGGTCCAATCATCCTCTCTAATCAGACCTTCTGGGTAAAGCCCAAATGGGCTCCAACAGGTTCCTATTCCAAACACAATTTGAAAGTACACACTCCTCAGTCAGAGGCAAGGAGAGGCAATAAAGTTGTCATCAGAGCAGGTTGTCACCAGTCAACCTGTGGCTGTATTCTGGGTCTCAGTTGCTCATGGGTATACCCAAAATCTGATTGTACAAGACAGATTGTTCCTGACCTACAAGGGTAAACAGTGCCCATTGAAAATAGCAATATCAGAGATGGTATTATTCCCAGCATTACAGATCTGAGTCACCTAATCCTGTGAAATGTGTAGCAAATAGATTCCCGCTTCTGCAGCTACTGCTTCTTTTTAAAGACATGGCCTCCCTGTCTCAGTTTGAATTTACTTCAGGCATTAGTATCTGGCAGAGATTAGGAAAATCATGCTCATTCCTCTACCCTGTGAAATTTATTGTGGGAATGGCTATGGCATTGTACTTTTATTCAGAGACCTTAGAGTCACTAAAAATATGGAGCGGCAACATCTGCAGACATTACTATATCTGTCACCAAAGGCAATAAAGTATGGACAATAAAGCAGAGCACAGGAAACTTACTTGTTATCATCCTGTTGCCATTTAGGTTCCCACAGGCTCAACTTTGTATTCTTGATTTGCATTATCACTGTGTTCTGATATACAGAATCTCTGGTATATGATCTTTTCCTGCTTGCCAGCCCATTCCTGTTTATGACATCAGACAGGGCTTTGAGCTTTGTTGGAAATCAACTATTGATGGTAGCAGAGAGGTATTCAATATTTCCTTTGAATATAATAAACAAATGAAAATCCTTTTTTTCCCTTGGGTATTTCTTTTTGTATGCTTTCAACCAGTGAATATCTTGTCTTGAGTTTCCACCTTCAGACTCTGAGTTCTTATGTCTGATAGGACAGTTAATACTGGAAATTGTTGGTATGTTGGGACCATCAACCATCTCTTAATCTGTTGGAATCTTTCAGCCATCTTTTCAATACAAATGCATGGGGATCTCTGGCAGAGATGAAGACATGAAACATCAGAACATGGAACCTTAAAGCCTTTCAGGCTCTTTAGAAAACCCTTCCCTGCACATCATTGGATTGTTCTCCAACTATTGCCTGAGGTAACATGTCTGATGAAGGCCAAGTGATGTACAGATATATGAGTTTATCAGTGTCATCAGAATTCAGTTTCTTTCTATATGACCCTTGCAGAGGGAAAGAAATTGTTTTGTATAAGTCTGTCACCATTCTGGTCTCAGGTTGTTGGCCATTAAATGCAGTGTGGGGTGTTTCTTCCAATTCACAGTCTTAATGATATTCCTCATAATTACTTGATTCCTCCAAATCATTTGTCCTCTGTTACAAAAATGTATTTGAGAATTGCTCACTATTTTCTCTTTTACAGTATGTAGCTCATGAGAATGGGTAATTTTGTTCCTCCTGTAGCTAGAGTTTTCCTACCTGGCCCACATTCAGGACAAATCTCTGTCACCCGCCAGTCCCACAGACACTCAGACCCAACCAAGTAAACACAGAGACTTATACTGCTTACAAACTGCATGGCTGTACCAGGCTTCTTGCAAACTGTTCTTATATCTTAAATTAATCCATTTCTATAAATCTATACTTTGCCACATGGCTTGTGGTTTACCGGCATCTTCACATGCTATTTGTCATGGCAGTGGCTGGCAGTGTCTCTGACTCAGCCTTCCACTTCCCAGAATTCTTCTCCTCCTTATCCTGTCTATACTTCCCCCTGCCTGACTACTGGCCAATCAGTGTTTTATTTACTAACCAATCAGAGCAACACATTTGCCATACAGAACATCCCACAGTATCCTCCTCCTTTTAATGAACTAACATGCAGATTACCAATCAGTTTATCACATGTAGTCAATCCCAGTGAAGCTTCTAAATAGCAACAGATAGATTTCTGTACTATGATGACATAAGATTGTAGGGACTTCAAAAATAGTTTTTTTTTCCCCTATCATATTGGAAGGTGTAAGTATATTTTTGAAATGGTCTGTTAAGCTCCAATGTTGCACTAAAGGTATACACTAGGCCATGTACTAAACAAATACCACATTACAGCCATGTTAGTGAGAAAATATTGACATCCTTCGTAGTATAAGGGATTAAGTTTTCACAATATCTCTCCACTTATTCTATGATGCATTTCAATTATTTTATAATATTTATAAAAGTTTATGTGTGTGTATATGTATGAGTTTGCTTATGCATATATATACAAATACACAGATACATATGCCTGTGTACACTTTCTTGACAGTTTAGAATTTCATGCATCAGTACTGCATTTAGATTATTTCACACTTCTTTTTCTCCATTGTTCAATATAATATCTGCACTGTAAATTGTTAAATTATTAAATTATTTTACCAAATTGTGTATATACAAATAACTAACTCAAACAGTTTAGAGAATGTAGTGATTAGCTGTAGCCATTTCAGTATTGACCTTTTGTAGTTGAAAGGTCTATCAATGTTAATGTACAGTATAAATGGATTTGTTCTATCTTAGCATCCAATATTTGTAAAAGATTTTCTGCTAATGGTGGGATTTTGATTTTCTTTCATTCTTTTTTTTTCTGGAGCTGAGAACTGAACCCAGGACCTTGTGCTGGCTACACAAGTGCTCCACCACTGAGCTATATCCCCAACCCTATTTTTTGTTTTCTTGTATTAATCATTTTAGTTCTTTCCTTGCTTTCATATAATATTTTGTTGGCACCCAAATTTTCTAAAAGCTGTGCTTTTTAATTCCTTATCTTTCTTAGAACATGCCGTCTTCACAGCAGACATTCTTTTCATTTTATTATGAACTTTGTCTGACCATTGCATGAAATATTTTCTTATTCTAAGAATAATAGTGAGTTTCTGGATTGATCAGGTGGCCCTAAAGAAAATTCTATAAGTTCTTTGCCATTTGAGCAGTTTTGGAGTTCTGTAATAGTAATGTAAATGATATTTTTTTTCTGACACTCACAGGCAATGTTGCCTGTGGGTGTGAGGATAAATATTTAAAAGACAGTCAAAAATTATATGCTTTCAGAGCAGTTGCAGATGAAGGTTCTCCTTTGGCTCTACTATCTTCCTGGCCATGTGGAATATATTAACTTAATCATATTCAGCAGTGTTGGTGTCTCTGTCCATGATATATATCTTCATTTCTGAAAATAGTTAGAGTGGAAACTACAGACATGTCATTACATACCAAACCAGTAACACCCTACGAAGGGCTAAATGTTGGTAAATTATGATGTTTGTCAGAGCTGGTAAAATCATCAACTTCACCTTGTTGTTTTGTAGTCCTGTTAGCTGCAATTTTACCTTAATAAAGCAGAATGATTGTAAGTGGACATAATAGGCCTATTAATGGCTTAAGGGACTGTTTATAACATCCTAACAGAATAAACATTTGTTAAAGGGACCTCCTTTTTAATAACAACAATGATTTCACATAACTTTAC